CGACGGAGTCATAATATTCTTCTATGTTGATGACTTCCTGATTACTAGCCATAAGACAAAAGCTTAATATATAAGGCAGCTTGAATCGGAACTCGAAAAAGCATAGGAACTAACTGATCACAGCGATATAGAGTGGTTCCTAAATATACGCATTATACACGATCGTAAATAATATAAGCTCTAGCTATGCTAGGACAGCTATATTAATAGTATAGCTACCTATTTCGGCCTAAATAACCGACCATTAGTGGCTACACTAATGCTAATTAAAGAACTCTTACCTTATAAAGGAACTACGTCGCCTGATGCGATCAAACTCTACTAGGAAAAGATTAGTTTAATATAGTATATAGCTACTATAACCAGGCCTAATATAGCTAAACTAGCTACTAAACTAGCCTAATTCCTATAGAACCTAGGTCCGCAGCATTCTACTACGGTAGATAGGACAATCACTTATCTATTCTATACCAAGAACAGAGCACTTAGATATGGTTTAGGACATTATTCTGATGACACCTCTGACCCTGATTTCAGCCGAAATAAGGATCAGATTAACGACGTAACCCACTAATCTATAGGCATATCGGCACTAACCATCGCTAGTGACGTATCTTATAGTAACCATAAAGACTATAAGAGCTCTATAGATATGATATATATGCTCTTCGGCGGCCCTATAGATTAGAAGGCGTCTAAACAAAAGACGGTGACGACGTCTACTACCGAAGCAGAATTGCTTAGTTTATCGGACGTAGCTAAAACACTGGTATGGTGGAAGAGAGTACTAGTCTATATTGGACTAGAAATGGAATACAATAATATAACTCTCGACTACGACAACCAGAGAATAGTTGATCTGCTCACTAAAGAGGGAGCATTTAAGACCAAGCTATATTATATAGATATACACCGCAGCTAGCTACGCTAGGAGGTGCAGGAAGGACGTATTAAGATTAGATGGGTCCTAATAAAGCTTATGGTGGCAGATGGCTTCACGAAAATCTTGCCAAAACAGAGATTTGACGCCTAGATTCGTCTTCTTAATTTAGAAGATATAAGTGAACTGCTCTAATCTAGGGTCTTACCCCTAGATTTAGAGGATTTAGAGCATCAACTGCCTAAATCAGGATATAGACTATGTTTTTAGAGGGAATTAAGGCGATTCAATAGCCTAAATCGGCCCTATGTTTAAGGCTAGTTTACACCTTAGAGGGGTGAAAACTAAAGGGGTGTGTTAAAGGCCCGATTCCATTTATAGTTAGTCTATTTTAGTTAGTATTGGAATCCCATAATAGGATTCCTCTATTCTACAATAGATATATATATATACTTTAGTATATATACTATGTTCTTATTTACCTACTAGAATCCACTATTCCTTAGTAGTCGACCTCTATTTAACAACCTTATATAAACTCAGAACCTTATCTAAATATAGCTCTTTAAGCTACGTCTTCGTCTTAGCCTACTAGTTAATATAATACTATCTATCTAGTTCTAGTATAATTCTATTCACCTGCCCACCCCGTGACAGCGGAGGTCTATTCTAGATATTATTACTAGTCTTTATATACTATGCTCTTGAGTTTCTAACTATATATAATCAAAAAAGTATATAGTTTATATAATCATCAAATACTCGCTATATTATCTACTAATACCTATTTATATAGAAGGTGTCGTGCACTACTATAGACTAGCTTAAAGCCTAAGGCAATAATACTTACTAATTTAAATGGTAGAATAATAGAACTATCCTTTATTTAATCTATCATTCCGGCAGAATTCTACCCTTTATTATTCTGCTAATAGTCTAGATTCTATGTCCGAGAATTAATATAGCAGAAAATTACTTAGTATGTTTCTGCCTAGTTTATCTATATCTTCCTTAGTACTAGCAGAAACGATATTATATTAGTATTATATTGATTAGTTATTAATAACGACCATATATCATGATACTATAAAATACTAAAGGCCACCTAAAGCTATTATCCTATCCTATAAAGCACGACTATCTTTTAGATAATTAAATCTAAGGTCTAATTGAAAATCTCGACTATATCTACCTTCTATTCTATATCTTATATTTAAGAAATCTACTAGTTCCGAGGTGGAATAAACAACTTAATTAGCTGGTTTTAGGACATAGGGCCCCTAATAAATAAATAAATAAAAAGGTAATATGGTTTAGTCCTTAGGACCATTAGTCCTTTATAAAGGATAGAATTATCTCATAATAGGCAAGTTGCGTTACCAAAGGCCATGGTTAAGAATAAGAATCGAGATATACAATCCTAGTAATGGTAGTAGCCCTTTACAATTACTAGAGTACTTATTAAAAGGTATCGTTATTCCAGGCGAAGTAAAAGTGGAATATATAGCTAATCATAAAGTTATATAAGAAGTATTTGCTTAGTCTATTTATTTTATTTAGCTAATCCTAGGGGCCTTCTCTCACCACCATAATCGCTTTTCTTTTTCTATTATTATTATTGAATTCGGAGATATAATCCTTTTCTTAAAGAGAATATAGTATATCCTAGCTACTTAGATGATCATAAGGGCTAGAATAATATATATATATTTAGAATATAGAATATATATATCTACGGGCCTATATATATGACACGCAATATAATAAAACCCTACTTAATAATTTGAAAACCGAAGCATCACTTATTTTAGTCAAGGCGTTAAATATGGTAAAGATAAAGATAGCAAGGATATTAAGGAGGACTCTACTTTATATTCGATAACTTAAGACTCTAGCCTATTAAGAATTTAAAATACTACTTAATAAAGATGCAATAAATATAAGGTCTTTACTTAAAATTCCTATTCGCATAATTCAACTCCCTTAAAAGATATTCTTTCTAGACACTAGGCTATATAAAGCTTTATAAAGACCCATCAATTCTAGTCATCCTTTTAGCATTAACACCCTAGCCAATTCCTTCAAGATTACTATTTTATCAGCCATTATGACCAGCCCTAAAAATGTTCTTTTGAATTAGGAGTTAGAGAGTATGGACACCTATTCTATCCTTTCCGAGAAATCCTCTATAGTACCCTTAGAGATAAGTAACGACCGTGATTTCATCGCTTCGGATTTAGAAGATGATAATGATGATGATAATAAATTTATTTACCTAATATAGCTCGCTCTATATATATGCTACTATATAGGAGTGCTATTAGGCCTACCGGTAGCTTAAAAGTGGTGACCAGCCTATTAGTGACCTTGAGAAGCTTATAGTCCGAGCTTCTTACTGGTCCTATCGAATATAAAAACAGAATAACAAATTAATAAAGGAAAATAGAGGTTTAAGTATTTAATCACTTATATTATATTAAAATAAACGTTCCTAGTACTTACTACCTTCACGAGGGCCCTACTCCACCTTCAACCTTCACCACCTATCCTAAACTCACTCCTATAATCTCTATTACCCTTCTTAGCTATCGGCAGCCGCTTATATGCTCATTTAACTTAAGGGAGTGTAGTGGACCTAGCACTACACACCTAATAGGCACCATTATTCTCCTTCCGTTATACTATCCTCGGGGGTCATTCTTTCACTACTTCTTCTACACCTAGAGTAATTGGATCTACTACTTAGAACTAGCTTAGAGCCCCTATTTTGACCATGAAGTCGGCAACGGTAGTACGCGCTTCTAGGCGTATCAGAAGTTCGTCTCGACAAACAATAATTCCTTACCCTAATAGGGCGCGCTATATCTAGTCCCGCTCCGCTTAGTAGAGTAGGCACTCCAGTAGAACATAAGCCACCATCTGGTTACCTAGTTTATAGTCACACCGTGCCGACTCTCGTTGGTTAATGCGAGCGAGATAGGCGCCTAGTCTAATTCGTCCTATATATAGCTATATTAGGATTAAGGTAGTTGCTTTATAAAGCCTAAACCAATATTTAAGTATCTTCTTTATTAGTACTTCGATCAGTCGCCTGGTCGGCCGACTAGTCTTTTCTAGCGCCTATGCCCTCTCCCACTCGATTTTCGCTTCTCGGCGCAACCATCGTTTAGCTATAGCTACGAGGCAGATATACCGATTAAGACAATTCAGCGGTTCTTCGGGTCCCTATATAGCTTCTTTAGTATATCTATCTATAATCTTATTACCTACCACACCTTGGTGAGCCGGGATCTATCTAAGTTCTGTTCGAATGCCCCTATCCGCTAATTAGCGGATTAGGCCTAGGCATCCTATAAGATAAACCTGACTAGAGGGCATACGCGGCCGTCGGAGCGCTTTCAGTACCGCTTAGCTATCTATAAATATAACTAGACCATTCTTTACCTATATGAGATAGAGCTTATTACCATTAAGAACTAATTTAAGAGCTATCTCTATAGCCTATAGCTCTATAGAATACATAGTAGATAAATCGTCATCGCCCATCTGGCTTAGAGCGATATGTTCCCCGGTCTCATCTACTGCTGCTGCTCCTACTTTACTCTCGATTCCGCTCCCGTTAGTGTACATAATTAGGGGTCTCTCTTATAGGGCTTTCCTAAGGATCTGGCTATGACTTTATATAGCAGCGTCTCGGTCTTCGACCGTCACATCCGGTGGTGCTTACTAGGGCGCTAGAACAAATACCTTTCGACTCTCCTAGTTTCTCGTTAAAGCTATTAGGGAAGTTATTAGACATCCGCCTGACTTCTAGGCTTACACCTCTATAGGTGACCATCCAGACTAGTCTCTCTCGCCTACCAGTTAGCGTCGAAGCATCGTTGGCGGGATAGTGAAAACAGGACCCGTTCGTAGTCTAAGTACTATTTCTTAGACTAATTGGTTCATTTAGATTAAGATAGGCGGCAGGTGAAGCTCTATATTTAAAGCTTCTGCTGCCGTTGTCCTAAAAGCCCTACTCATAAGGTATGCTGCCTGCTTTTGAATTGCCACGAAAAGGTAACACATTTTTCTTGCTCTAGACTTGCTGATGAGCATAGGTTAGTACTATACGGAGACGCTAAAGAGTATCTGTGGAATGATGACCGCTTAGTAGATCCTTCGCATTATATAGAGCGAGGCTCCCCACATTAACCCCGCTAAGCTTCGGAGTACTTAGAGGGAGACGCTCGCCTTGGCCACGGCTTTCTCGCAGTAATAGTGGAATTCCAGACCCAGATCTAGCCAGTAGCCTAGGTATCGCTCGGCCGTCCTTATCGCTATCATGGTATATCCTTATAGAGTCAGGGATATATATTCTAGGTCGACTTCTTTGGTATTCACAAAGTATATAAGTGCGTATTTCTTCGGGTTAAAGACAGATATATGTTTCTCGGCCTATTAATCGGATTTATAGCATACCACTCTAAGTTTCCTAATGGTCTCGCGTTCGCTATCGCCTTTAGCCATAAAGCCAACATCGTCCACCTAGCCATTACTAGTGATACTTGGTATCGGAATTTGATGTTAAGGCGCCTAGTGAATTACTATTTCTCGGCAGTCGATCTTGTGAAGGGCTAAAGCTAATCTTGAATTCAGAACTAGCTAGGCACATGCTATTTACAAAATCCTTGAAGAACGTGAACAATTCGGGGTGGAATCGTGAGGTATGCGGTTGGTGGGTCACGTGGTACAACCACGTGATAGTTCACCAGGATTCAACCTGTTACAATACCCCCCTCCTATTCTCCTGTTTTCCGGGGTCCATTCGAAGTCGTAATTAGTCCGTATCGTAGTTCAAAGGTGTCGAGAGCTGTGCAGTTTTCTATTGCGTCGATAGGTTCCTATGTCAGTTCTGCGTATCCTCGCCATTTTACTAATGCTTCCCTCCGCGATCCACGTCCAATTTTTCGTGTCCTTGCTTGTAGGATCTCTTCAATTTCGTATTCCAGATCTCCTTCGACTAACAGCGGAGGCGGTTGCGAATCGTCCACGATTTGTGACGGTAACGGGTCCGTTGCCGCGGGTCTTATTAACTCAACATGGAAGACAGGATGTATGCCGCTTGGCACATCCAGCTTCACTGTATGAGAGGATGGCACTTCTAGAACTGTGTATTTGGCGTGAAGCCAGTCTAGTTTCTTTGAAGGCCGTATCGTGCGTACATTCCGTAGGTTTAGCCATACTTTATCGTTGATATTATAGACTAGAGCGGCTCGTCTTGAACGATTCGCTTGTTCCTGTTGGCGTTCTTGGGCGATAGCCATCGCTGCATTTGCCCAATCGGTGGCGTCTCGTAGCCGGTTCGTGAACGTTTCCGCTGCGATCTCTGGTCCTCTCTCTGCTTGGACTTCTATTACTTCGACTGGATCGACATGGTATCCGTGTGTGAAGAAGAATGGAGATAGTCCAGTAGAGGTTGCGTCTCGGTTATTGATCGCCATGGCTACGATAGGTAGTAAACTTGCCTAGTCGTCCTGTGCGTACGTAGTAAAGGCGCGTAGAATTCGTTCGACTTCTTGATTTGCGCGTTCCGTAGCTCCATTAGTTTAGGGGTGGAATGCGGTAGATAATCGGCGTCGAATCTTTAGCTTTTCGCACACGATTCGCCAGAACCCCCCTACGAACTGTGGGCCGCGGTCACTAGTGATCGCTATCGGTAAACCATGATGCATATAAATATGCTTCATAAAGACATCTGCGACGCTTTCCGTAGTAATACTATGTATATCTATTAGGATCACTCCTTTAGATAGCCGATCAGTAATTACTAGACAATTCGTCGCTCTTTCTTTCCCAGTGGGTGGAAGTTCTGTGATGAAATCCATGGATAGTTCGGCCCAGATTCGTTGTGGAATCGGTAACGGTTTAAGTAGGCCTTGCTTCGAATCTCTCCAAATCGTGTTTCGTCCGCAAATGGTGCAATTCCTTAAGAATCTCCGTACATCGTTCGTCATTCCTGGCCAAAAGAATCTACGGGCCAGTATCGTATAGGTTGCGTCCCGTCCTGGATGTCTAGTCGTGTAGGAATCGTGGACCTTCTGGATCAAGGTTGTGCGTAGTGGTTCGTTGTCTAGAATCCATGTCCTTTTCCTAAAGCGTAGAAGATTTCGTTCATCTAAGTCACACTTGGATAGGCTTATTTTCAGGTTCGATTCGGCAGGGATTCGTCGGTCTCCCTTTTCAAGTGCGAGTGCGAACTGCTGGTATATTTGATCTTCCTTCCGCGCGTTATTCCATGCTTCCTGCGTTTCTGCTTCTTCAAACATCGCCACTGGTATATCAAAGTCTAAAGGTGGACTTGGTTTAGTGCTATTGTTACGGATTGTTACTGATTCGAAGAGTTTCCGGAAACGATTCGTGAGCCTCTTATCAGAGATTCCTTTAGGTTCGTCTTGTCCTCGCCGGGATAGAGCATCTGGTTGGATCGCCTGTTTCCCGGGTCGATATCGTAGCTCAAAGTCGAATTCGGCCAGGATGTCTGCCCATCTCATTTGTCGTTCGCTTAGATCCTGCGCCTTATGAAAGTATCGTAGATTTTTGTGGTCCGTTAAGACCACGAATCGCGGGACCATCTTCAGCTCTGGCTTCTATTCCCGTAGCGCATGGATGATAGCGAGTAATTCCTTGTCGTGTATCATATAATTGGTCTCTGTAGGTGAGAACTTACGCGAGAGATAGGCGCATGGTCTTAGTGTCCCATCTTCTTGTCTTTGTGATAAGACTGCTCCTGTCGCCCATCCAGATGCGTCTGTTTCCACTATTGTTTCGGTGTCTTCTCGGAAATGAGCCAATATTGGTGCAGAGATAAAGAGGTCCTTTAGGGTCTCGAATGATTCTTGTTTCTCCTTGTCCTATTTGAATATCGTATCTTTCTTTGTCAACTGCACCAATGGTGCAGAGACATCTGCGAATCGTGGTATAAACGTCCGGTAGAAGTTAGCGAATCCAACAAAACCACGTACTTCTCGGATATTAGTAGGTGCTTCCCATAGCTTAATGGCTTCAACTTTCTTCGGGTCTACACATAGACCTTCTCCAGCTCGTATGATGAACCCTAGGTATTTCACAGAGCTCTGTTCAAATTCAGATTTCTCGATATCGCATTGAAGTCCAGCATCTCTTAGCTTCTGGAGCACCTCGCGTACTTTTCGTCTATGATCCGTGATCGATCCGTCGGAGTAAATAATGATATCGTCCACATATGCTGACACAAACTCGTCGAGAAATTCGCGTAGAACTTCATTGATATACCGTTGGAAGGTTGCGGGAGCGCCAGTCAGGCCAAAAGGTGTAACTAGCCACTCATAGAGCCCGTATCGTGTTCGAAACGCTGTCTTCCATTCTTCGCCTTCCTGCATTCTGATCTTATGGAAAGCCGCTATGATATCGAGTTTGGTAAACCAGCGAGCCTTCGACATGTTTCGTAGTGTTTCTTGAATCAGAGGTAGGGGGTAACGGTCCTTGATGGTTATGGAGTTTAACCCTCTATAATCGACACAGAATCGGATGCCTCCACCAGGTTTTCGTACTAATAACACCGGTGAAGCTGCTAGCGATTTGCTGACTCGTATGAATCCTTTTCCCAGTAGATCGGTAAGAGTTTTTCGTAGAACTAATAGCTCTTCTCTATTTATTCCATATAATGGCCCATGAGGTGGTGTCGATTCGTTACCATTTCCATCGCGTGTCAAGGGTATCTTATGATCGATCCCTGGGCGATGGCTCGGAAGCTTGTCTGCTTTCTCCTGGCTAAAAACATCTAACCAAGGGAGATATTGTGGGGGAAGTTTAGCTCTCGGATCGGTGAATTTCTTAGGTTGCAGCGCCTTATCGATATCGTCCATAGTTACTTTGGCTATTCGGAGGTGGTCCGGCGACGAAACGCTATCGAATAGTTCTTTGATTTCTCCTGCAGATGATTGCTGTACTTTCAATCTCTTTACTTTTGTTGGACCGATTGATGGGTCGATGCGGTTCCAACAACGAATGCGCTCTCCATTTCTCGAATGGATATCTAAATACCCTCGTTTCGCAGCGTAAACTCCGTCGACATCTTTTAACCAAGGCGTCCCAAGTATCATTTCGTCTGACTGTCTTGGAATGATGTAGGCAAAGACTTTCTGCTGTTATAGTCCATTAACATCAAGATCGAAGTATATGGCCTGAGTGATCCGTCCTTGATTCTTGATGACTCCGTTCAGGATTCGCGGTGGAATCGGGATACGCGGAAGGTTAAGAGATTGCGCTAGGTGTCCGCTGATAGATGCATAGCTATCGCTTCCGTTGTCTACTAAAGTCTTCGCGAATTGAATTCCATTAACTCTAGCATCGACATAGAATGACGCCTCTTTCTTTAGCAGCTTCTCAACCCCCTTCTGCTCCTGCTCGCGGTTTAGTGCAGGAGCTAATCTTTCCCGAATCATTCTCCGCTTCATCTTCTTCAATCGCTGGCGAATACTCCCTTCTTCGGGGGTGGCTCGATCTTGGTTCTTCGACTGCTACATTCCGTACCACCACTTGGTTCGGATTCCGTGCGGGCAGTAAAGGGCATACGCTTTGCCAACAGTTATCTCGACCACATCGTAGACATCTCTTTTCTATACGGCGACGTTGGAGTTCTTCTTTCTCGACCCATTTTGCACGTTTTCCCACAAGATGTTGATCCTCTTTACGAACCTATCCCTTTTCGTTCACGAATCGGGACGAATTCGTCTGTGTGGTGTTCGTGTTTATTGTTGGAGTCCAGTCCATCCTATCCTCTATGGCTGTGGTTGATTGATCTCTTTGGATTCGCTGGCGAGTGGATAACTGGCGTCTGCCTAATGCGATATTCAGTGTCTCGCTATCAGTGTCGATTTCGTGGAGCCGTATGATAAGACCTATAAAATCATAGGGAACACCACGATTCATAAGCGAATTCGTCATATCTTCGTTAAGAGCATTTAGTAAGAGTTGTCGTTTTGCTTCGTCGTGCCATTCGGTTGCACCAGCATCTGCGAGCTCTCTTTCTAACTAGGGAAGGAATCGTGAAAAAGGCTGGTCGGGCTTCTGTTTAAGCTGATGTAGACGCCGAGCTGCTCGTGATCGAGCGTTAGGGTCCCTATACATCCTCTCAAGATATTCCAGAAGCATATACGGGTTGCCTTCGCTTCGTTGTATCTTCACAAACGTTCCGGTGTTCTTGGCGGCCATTTTCTCTAGGCGGGAAAATGTATAGAGGAATTGCTCTTGTGGGGTACCGATGGCAGCTCCGTCTACTAGCAATTTGTTCTCTATCGAGATTCTCCAGGTTGGCCAATCAGAGATGTTTCCTGCATACATCGCGGGGTCGGGGAGACGAGGGCGAGGTCGTCGAATCTGGTTATTATCGCTGGTTGATTCGATTGGTATCCCTTGTGGTTCCGTGGGTGGTTCGGGAGCGGCTCGCTCCTGGGACCGAACCACTAATTCTTCGAGTCTTCTAATTCTCTCATCGGTACTAATACTTGTCTGA